TCGTAAGTTTACCCCCCCCCCCAAATAAAATAATTGTTTCAATTACAAATGAATTTATTTATACAGACACCTGTTTGCACCACAGAGTCTGGACAAATCATGTGCGTAGACTTGCTTAAGAAACCCTGATTCCTCCGGTGTGATGCTTCTCATTGGCAGATATATAGAAAGACAGAATACGATTGGATCTTGTTTCTCCAAAATGCCTAATAGATTGTAGCCCGTATGATCTGGAATTAAATTCACCTACCGGACATGGAGAGGATAGTATTTTCTGTTTGATAAGCTGATTGAGCCGTAGTTATTTCGAAAATAACCTCGCCGCTCCGTGCAGTGCAGGTGTCCTTCATGAAAAAAGGAGTGTTTTCAGTTACATCAAGTTTAAATCGCTCTGAAACAGGATAAGTTATTTTCTTGGCGAATAGATGCTCACCGATCGGTAACGGACGCAACTTGTCCTGTTCTGCTTGCTCTCGAGCCCCGACAGCCACCGCCAAGCGGCTAGTATTGTAGGCAGAAGAACACTATCGACAATAACAGGGGAAGGCTGAACTGACCGTTTCTGGCTTATTAGCCGTCATCAGCCAGCTATACCCAACCCCGGCTGGTGCACCGCCCGAGGCTTGAATCCGTAACCTGTCGCTTAGGAGTCCAGCGCTCTAACCTTTTAACCACGGTTATGGCTAGCGCTCCAAACTTAGGTAAATCCGCCATTAGCATTCCTGCCGAAGCCGGCTGATAGTAATCCAGAGAAAAACTTAGGGGAGTAGGATCAGAGATGATTATGATTCACGTTTGCCCTCTTCAACAAATGAATGAAGGAAACATCTTTATAAAAGTAAAAACTCCACAATTTTGGCAGGTGCCTGGCTCATTTACGGTAACTTTCGTCGCTAGCATATACTTCAAAGCCCCGAATCCCCGATAGTGAGAACGTTTGTAGTAAAGCTATCTAATTTAAATCGTAATACGAATGTCCATGTTACTACAGTAACCAATAACTTGGAAAAGATCATCCCTACAACATAAGCGGGATTAATCGCACATATAGGCTCTTTCTCACGCCTGAACAACTTAACACTTATTATCCATTCTAAAAAGTACAGACTCTTCACATTCGACGTTGACTAGTTATCCTTGAATGTATCAGTCACATTCATTCAGTTGCTAAAGTTTGGTAGTAGGAT